TGCTGAGAAAAATGTTTTCAATTTCTCAGGGCGGCTTATTTCAAAAAGATAAAAGCATGATAGATAAGATTATAATTTATTGCAATCTCATTCTTTACAAATTTAGAGAATGAAAAATAAATCGTTTCTAAAGTAGCTTTAATTTTTTTTTCTTTTTAAAAAGTGGATGTTTTACTTTTTTACGTGTTTTAATACATCCAGCTAACTTCAAACTATAATTCTAAAATTAATAGTTATTGTTCCTTCTCGCTAATAGTTATTTTTAAAGTGAAATAATTCTTTCAAATGTTATAGTTAAAGCTGATATACAAACTACAAACTTGTGTATTGTAGTATTATTAATAGTTATACTCCTTGGAGAATACAAAATATCTTGCCTCTTTTCAAATTAATTTATGTAAAATTAAGACAAAAAATTTATTCTATAAACGTTATTTTTTTAATATACTGTTATTTATAACTGTACTTTTCAAATAAGCTTTTATAAAATAAACAACAAAGGAAAACTTTACAAATATTTAAAAAAAAATATTTAACTTTAAAAAAAATTTACTATTGCTTTATCCCATAAATTATTTTTAACTAGTATAATTTTTCCCTTAAGGATGGAATTCGAATTCAAAAGATGGTACAAAGGCAAAAATATAAAGTCAATGGTTATGCTTTAACAATACGGGGAACATGGAATTCGAATTTAAAAGATGGTACAAAGGCGAAAATAAAAAGTCAATGGTTATGTTTTGACAATAAGGGGAGTATGGAGTCCGAGTTTAAAAGATGGTAGAAATGCGGAAGTAAAATGTAAATGGTTTTGTTTTGACAATTTGGGGGAATATGGAATTCGAATTTAAAAGATGGTAGAAACGCGAAAATAAAAAGTCAATGGTTATGTTTTGACAATAAGGGAAATATGGAATCCGAATTTCAAAGATGATTGAAACGTAAAAATATAAAGTCAATAGTTATATTTTGTCAGTAAAATTTTAAAACTGTTCGAAAATAACATTCTAATTTTTACGTACATAAATGCACGAAACATGCAATTTTATGAATTTACTCTACACTTTTTCAATTTTTTTGTGTTAAAATAACATTTTTTTAGAATGTTCGAGCAGTACCGAAACACTCAATAATCTCGAAAATTACATGAACCATCAAGATCTAAAATGCCAATTTCAAATGTTTTCAAAGGATGGATTCAACTATACTAAACTCTACCTCCTAGCTTTAGACTCGGAAGTTATAGAGCAACTTCGACATTTTACATTGTAACCATTTTCCATGGCAATTTTGGATTCTCTAGGACAAAAAGAATTCCAATATGAATTTTTTGTTCATTTTAGAACACAGATGGCGCTGCAATCAACAAAATAAAAGTGAGTTTAATTTTTTTCAAAATGGAGATTTCTTAAAAAATACATTTCATGTAAAAAGAACATATAACTCTATCCTCACTCCCTGAAATGAGATGGTGATGATCCTCATCCCTGACAAAGAGTTAGGATTTTAAATTCTTTATTTTTGAATTGATCCTTTGAAAATATTCGAAGCATGTATTTTGAAATTTTTTGATCCAAAACGTAATTTTTTTTTATTTTATAAATGTCGTTGAACAGCTGACCCAATTTTGGGTTTACGACTACTAATGTTCAACTCCGTAACCTTCTAATTTTGAACCCAATTCAAAAGGCAATGGAACTTCTGGATCAAGTATTGGGAGAGATTTGCTTTCGTGGAAGACTTTTTTAGATTTACGACTGCTAATGTTCAACTCCTTAGCCATGTAATTTTGAACCCGATCCAGAAGACGAGAGAACACCTGAAAATAAGCATTGTGGAAAATTTGCCTTCGAGGATGAATTTTTGATGGAACTAACCAGCAGTTGCGTTACATGCAGCGGAAAACCACGAAAACTTCCCGCGGTTATCCTGATTTCAAGTGGACTCTAATCCGTGATCAGTCTACCACCTAGGATATTTTAAATCAGCGCTGCGGTCGGTGCAAGCTGGGTGCGGAATTCGTATTGATCAGCCGCCGCTGGGATTACAACCCGGTTCACCTCAAGGCGAACGCTCCATTCCCTGAGAAATCACGGCTCTCAATGCGTAATTTTATAACAGTCGTTGAACAGCCGACCCAATTTTATGGGTTAAGACTACTAATGTTCAACTCCGTAGCCTTGAAATTTTGAACCCAATCCAGAAGACAAGGGAACTCCTGGATCGAGTATTGCGAGAAATTTTGCCTTTGTGGAGGACTTTTTGATGGAGCTAGCCTGCATTTGCATTACATGGAGAGTGTTGGACTTTGTTGAGAGTAAATTAGACTGAAAGTCACGTAGAACAAACTGAAAACTTAACTTTTATTTACATCAAAAAGAATATAAAAACAAGAAAGATGTTGCCAGCACAGGAAACTCAAAACTATCTAACTAATCTCGAACTCAAACCTCAACATCCTCCCCACCCTGGTCGACCTCGAGGGGGATGACCAGAGCTACCGGACGGGTTATATTGTGACCATTAACTCTCAGCTCATTGGATCTTATTTTTCCATCTCGTCCTTCATGCAAGTTCACCACTCTAGCTTTCTTCCTCTTGTGACGTGGTCGAACATCCTCTTGTAGAAGTACAATATCGCCAATTTGAACGTTAATGATATTGTCCTGATTACGAACTTGATGAGATGACAGCAATTGAAGCAAATATTCCTTGGACCATTTTTTCCAAAAGCTAAGTAAGTCTGCTGCTGCTTGTAGATTTTTCTTAGCTTTGTGTTGTTATTTGGGCTGGATGGAATGGCCGTTAGTTTCCGTCCTGTCAAGAAATGGCTTGGTGTTAAGGCTGTGGAACTGTCATCTTTTCCATCTTCGTATAGCAATGGTCGGCTGTTCAGAGCGGCTTCTATTCCAATGAGGGCCGTAGACAGACTTTCCTCGTCAAGAAGTGCTCGTCCGAGTACCTTTCGTAGACATCGCTTGACAACTCCTATTAGGCACTCCCACCAGCCTCCCCACCAATCCGCTCGTGGGGCGATAAATTTCCAAGTTATGCCATTTTGGGCATAATATTTCTGAGTTTTAGCTGATGACAAAACTTGCCAACTTAACAGAATCAAGTCTTTATTTGCTGCATGAAATGTGGTAGCATTGTCGGTATAGATTGTGTGTGGGAGTCCTCTGCTGCCAACAAAACGTTGTAGTGCCAAAAGAAATTTGTCTGTGGTAAGATCCGTCACAAGTTCAATGTGTAATGCACGTGTTGTTGCACAAGTAAATAGTGTTATGAAGGCCATGTCTCTTGATTTCAAACATCGAATATTCACTGGTCCAGCAAAATTAATTCCTGTGGTAGTAAATGGAGCAGAAGGTACAACTCTTTCAGGAGGTAAAGCAGCTTCAATTTGTTTTCCGTATTTCGCTTTGGACAGCTTGCAAGGCAAGCATTTGTGAATAACTTGCTTTATAGCTTGACGTCCTCTTAAAATCCAGAAGGTTGAACGTAACTCGGATAGGATTATACGCACACCTAAATGGTGAAGTCGTATGTGGGTAGGCCGGATCAAAAGGTGGACAAAATAGTGCTTACCATCGAGCAATAAAGGGTGTCGAGTATAAGATGAAATGTTTGAAAACTGCAGCCTTCCCCCAAGGCGCAAATAATTATCTTAGAGAAAGGGATTGAAACAGGAAATTTTGGATTTTTTCGGCAAGGGACGTTCAGCTTTTAAGGCATTTATTTCAGCTGAGAAACATTGATTCTGTACAGTTTGTATCCAATAGTTTTTAGTTTTCTCTATTTCATTACAATTCAGTTCATGAGTTATGCGTTACTGGAGTCTTACAGTTGTATACAAAACGTAGAATCCAGGCAGTCACACGAAGAAGTTTCGTGTAAGAACTATAATGAGATATATCTATGATGAGTTCTGTAGTTGCAACGTAGGAGGATTGAAATTTGGTCTTTCGTGATTCAGCTTCAACTAAAGGCTGTGTACGTGTAGACAAAACTTTGATAGGCCAAGTTTCTGGATCATGTTTTAGCCATTTCGGGCCGTGCCACCAAGATTCTAAAATCGATAACTGTGATGGAAAGGTACCACGAGTAAGATGATCCGCAAGGTTATCTGTACCGGGACAGTAGCGCCATTGTGCTGAAGTAGTGCTTTGAAGAATTTCTGTTGTTCTGTTGCAGACAAATGTTTTCCAAAGGTTGGGATTTCCCTTTATCCAACTTAAAGCTACAGTAGAATCGCTCCATAGTATGGAAGTGTGGGAATTCATGTTCGTTTCCTTGCAAAAATACTGGAGTAGACGAGCTCCTAGTAGTGCAGCTAACTATTGAAGCATCGGAAGGGTTACCCTTTTGATTGGGGCTAGTTTATTTCGACTGCAAATGAGATGGATCTCTGTAGAAATATCATCTGCGTGACGAGCATACAAGCAAGCACCATATGCACGTTCCGAAGCGTCGCACAACGCATGTATGGTAACGTCGGAATTTTCAGAAAAGCAAATCCATCTTGGGATGCATATTTCATTCAGATAGTGTAATTCATTTATCCACTTGTGCCACTGCTGTGCTACAGATGGAGGTAGTAGTTCATCCCACTGAATACCACTAAGCGATGTATCTTGAAACAATATCTTCACAACTACTGTAACTGGAGCAAACAAGCCTAGAGGATCGTAAAACTTTGACATCAACTTCAGTAGTAAGCGTTTTGTTACTGGTTCTTTACATGCTTGAACAATTTTTGTCTGCACATCAATTTAAAAAACATCACTGTTAGTATACCATTTAACACCCAAGACCTGCGTAATATCCTTAAACGAAACGTTTTCTTGTTTCCACATATCTTTCAAAATCTTAGAATTTGTAGTCCATTTGTCTAATGGTAGGCTAATAAGTGATGTAAGTTTCTGCAGTTCTTGGTAAAGAATCAGAGCTTCAGTATCCGTAGATGTTCCCGTTACAAAATCATCCATATAAATGTTATTCTAAACGTGTCTAGTTGCTGTAGGATATGCTTGTTTGTGTTTTGTAGACAATTCACGAAGAGAAGCTGCTAATAAAAATGGACTAGAGACAAGTCGAAATGGAAGACGTGTGAATCGGTAAGTTACAATGTTATCTTCAGTGCAGAGTGTCCCATCAGGAGTATATGTAGTATTGTACCAAATAAATCGTGTTGCATCTCTGTCTTCTTCTGCTAGAATCAGCTGCAGAAATGCTTGTCGCCCATCACTAGTGATTGCTATTATAGAAAGTCGAAATCTCAACAATGTGGCTAAGATATCAGGAAGAAGATTTGGTCCTACTTCAAGAGCGTCGTTCAAATATGGGTGACCTGGAGAATGTGAAGATGCATCAAAAACTATACGCCACTTAGTTTCTCCATTTGTGATTTTCTTTACAGCTTGATGGGACAAGTAATATAAACGTTCCTCATTATGTGTTTCTGAGACAACTTCAACGAGTTTTTTATCAATGTAATCTTGCATGTGCTCAATATATTTTTCTTTGAATTCTGAATTTGCATGCATTTTCCTTGTTAAAGATTTAAATCGTTGAATTGCGACTTCATAATTGTTCGACGAAAGTTGAGCTTCTGGTTTCCACGGCAATTTTACAACTCTTCTACCATCGATGATTTCAAAAGATTGATGAAAGTTAGTCAAGAGTTCTGGGTTGTGAGAACTTATTTTTCTTGTGTTGGTTGTATGCCAATGCTCTCTAGGTTCCAGAAATTTCGTACCACNTAAATCGTTGAATTGCGACTTCATAATTGTTCGACGAAAGTTGAACTTCTGGTTTCCAAGGCAATTTTACAACTCTTCTACCATCGATGATTTCAAAAGATTGATGAAAGTTCGTTAAGAGTTCAGAGTTGTGAGGACTTATTTTTTCTTGTGTTGGTTGTATGCCAATGCTCTCTAAGTTCCAGAAATTTCGTACCACATTGTCTAATTCCTGAGTTGAAGTATCCACATCAACATTATGAACCGTTGAAATGAAGGAAACTGTTGCGTGTGATCGAGTTCCACTAAGTACCCAACCAAAACTTGATGGGACCAAGGCCAGAGAATCCGACAACCTGACTGGAGCTTCAGAATTCATAACAATCCAGTAGTAATCTGCACCGATTAAAATCTCAATTGGTAAGTTCGACAATGAATCATCTGGATCAGCAAGTTTCATTCGCTTGTTTTTAGCAAAGAGTGAAACATCCGTTGATGAAGGTAGGTGTGATGCATATTTGTTGGAGCTTTCAAATGCAGTAACATTAACTTTAGATTTGTCCCAGATACTTGATAACTGAAATTTGACTTGTCTTCGCATGTAGCCAACATTAGCTGGGGATTCAAAGGCTTGAATGTCCAAATGTCTGGTTGAAATTACTGGAAGTTTTAAAGTATCCACAAGATTAGAAGAAACGAAACTAGATTGACTTCCACCATCCAAAAGACAACGTGTCAGTTTTGTAATGCCAGTGGGCCCAGTTATGAAAACTCGTGCAGTTTGCAAATGAACGAAACTGGAAGGCGATACATCAATTTTGTTTGTAGATGTAGCCACAGGCTGCTCATTGGTTAGAGGTTTGCATATTGATGTATGGTGTTTTCTCTTGCATTTGGAACAGTTAAATTTTTCTCTACGGGGGCAATATTTTTTGGTATGTCCTCGGTTAGTGCACAAAAAACATCTATTACTAGTCTTCAATTTCTGTATGCGCACGTCTATGTCCGTTACAACATTGCACTGTTGAGGCCAATGTCCGAAAGTTTCACAGAAAGGACAAAAGGGTGACATTATTTTACTTTTGGTAACTGATTTAGATTTCACATTAAAATTTTCTAAGGAAGATTTAGCAGGATAGTCTGGAGCTAGTGAACCTTTAATATTACTTGCAGTAATTGCTCTCTCGACCTCTTCTGATAAAAATTTCATTAATTTTGAAATATCGCTTTCAGCAAAATTTTCACGTTTGGCATGTACAATCCAATTACGACAGATTTCATGAGGAAAAGCACGAAGTATATTAGGAGCCAAAATTCTTCCGTATGATTGAGTTTTTTCTCCTAAAGCATCTAAAGCTCGTATTCTTCGATTACAATCAATATATAACTCATTTATTGCTGCTGGAGAGTGATTTTTGACAGGTTTTAGGTTTTCTAAATAATCGAGATGAGCCTGTATTATTTTATCTTTATCGCCATATTATGATTTCAAAATATCCTTTGCTGTTGCATATGTTTCTGCAGTTATATTAATTCCATCAACTAATCGTTTTGCTTCTCCATCTAAATATCCCCGCAAAAAAACATGCTTGTCACAATCAGCGATAAACTTTCGTTTTTGTCAATACAGTTTTCAAAACGCTCCCAAAAACTATGGAATTCCTCAATTTCGCCGTAAAACGTATTTATTTTTATTGTAGGCAACTTTACTGTAACATTTGAAGACGAAGCTGAAAAATTATTTATATTGGCAGCTGCTGGCGATGTTTCAGAAATGGAATTCGTATTCCGATTCGCTGTTCTTCTGAAATTAAATAACGCCAAATGAGCATATTCTGTGTATCTTTCGCATTCTATTATGTCTTCCTGATATTCTTTATCATTTGAAAAATTATGTATTTCATCGTCTGCCAAGGCTAATTCTTTAATTTTATCTTGTAAACGTTCAATATTGTATTCCGTTTCAGTTTGTGTACTAGCAGCATCGTTCAATTTCGTCGTTAGTTTCGTAATGGCGGTACGTAGCGTTGCTCGTTTGCGCTTAAATATTACAAGTTTTTCACTACCGGTAGCCATTCCAATTCAGATTTATGACGAAACCCTTAGGAAAATTTGCCATAGAGAAGCCTATGGTAATCTATGGCAACCTATGGCTACCATAGAAATTTGTATGGCAAGATAAAATACGCCTATGGTTACCATATAGATTTGTATGGCACAACCCCATAAGCCTATGACTACCATAGAAATTTGTATGGCAAGACACCATACGTCTATGGTCACCATAGAAATTTTTATGGCAAAACCCCATAAGCCTATGGCTACCATAGAAATTTGTATGGCAAGATACCATAGGCCAATGGTAACCATAGAGACATGTATGGCATTTATATGGCACGTCACCATTCTCCTATGGCAACCATAAAAATTTGTATGGCAGTATACCATAGGCCAAAGGTAACCATAAAGATGTGTATGGCAGTATACCATAGGCCAACGGTAACAATAAGGATTTGTATGGCACGTCACCATTGGCCTATGGCAACCATAGAAATTTGTATGGCAGTATACCATAGGCCAATGGTAACCATAAAGTTTGTATGGCAGTATACCATAGGGAAAAGCTGATCTAGATCCCCACCAACGAAACAACAACTTCTATGGAGTCCTCAAAAACATCTTCTGAAAGAAAGAAATATCCATTTTTTCACCCCGAAGTTAATTAAATTCAACATGCTATCCCACAAGGCATTCCTGGTGAGTCTTTTACCGGCCTCCGGGTGGCCAATTTTTCCATTTTTGAGTGTTTGAAATCCGATGTTCCATTGATTTAGGCTTAGAGTATCAGGCCGCCATATTAACGTGTCATCCACTACTAATGGAATCTTTCGCTAACTTTGGCTACTTATTTTAATATTTTTTCGATCTTATTCTTGGTCTAAAACATTTTATTGCAAACGCAAATACGATTATCTATCTGAATTTACTAAGTTTTTAATTTCCGGCTGTCTGGTACTTTTATTATCGGTATCTTTTCAAAATATGTCGCGATTGGGTATAGGTTTTCGCTAAGCTAAATTTTGCTATTTGTTAACGCTGACTTTGTACACTTTAATTAATATCTTGCTTTTTATATTTTTATCTAAAATTTTTATATTTCTTTCTCCCAACTGTTTCTGATTAAACAACATCTTTCTTTTTATTTTATCCCCTCCCTCTGATTTTATATAAATTTTTAAAGTCACATCATTTTTCCATTATTGATGGTGTTCTATTCCCCATAGCAATTAGTAAACAATCTTCATGATGAAAAACGCAGTTAAGTTCTTATCATCAAGCCAGATCCATAATTTCTTTAATAATTAAAATTTTTTAATTCTTTTAACTTGTTCCGCGACAATTTCATTTTATTACTGTCATATATCAATATCAAAGTCAGTGGTTTCATTCTCATTAGATTTTGATTTTAATTCCACTTAGGTTCTTGCAATGCTTTTTTACATTTTCTTACATATGTTAAGGCTTTATATTTTCATTTTGTGTTAAATTTTTGCTTGCCATTAAATTGTTTTTCATCATGCCTCTGCATTTTACTATCTTACAACTAATATTTCTTAAGTATCCACATATACTTGTACAATGTTCTGTTAAATATTTATACACAACTTAGGGTCATCACTTAACTAGATTTGCTGGATTACTGGTTGACAATTATTTTGCTTCAATATCATCAACGGGACAGTCCTTGGCCATATCATCTGCTGCTGTTACCAAAAATGCTTTTAACGATTTATCCTTTCCTTAGGTTTACAACTTTTTCGTCATAGCGATTTCCTATACCCAATTAATTTTTATTTACTATCCCTGACCAAGTGTCAATAGCAATCATTAATTTTGCCAATTTTAATCATGTCTTAAACATGTTTTGTATTTACCAATGATTCTATATTGCGTTCTCTTTTCTAACTGAGCTTAACACAACTCAACTTAAATTTTCTGAGTTTTATATCCCTCACTAGTAGGGGATCAACTAATTTAGCCTGTTTTCTATTCTTAGCTTTTCATAGTCTAATGCCATCTCTTTTTTATAGATAAAATTTTGTTCACATGCCACCACTGGTTGCACCGTTACATATTCGGCTTTTGTCCCGTTTGGTCTATTTTAAACTAATTTCACTTCGACCACCAGCCCCCCTCTTTATCTTTTGAGTTTTCATAGTATTTTATTGTTTTAGTAGTCTGTTTNATGAGGAAAAGCACGAAGTATTTTAGGAGCCAAAATTCTTCCGTATGATTGAGTTTTTTCTCCTAAAGCATCTAAAGCCTGTATTCTTCGATTACAATCAATATATAACTCATTTATTGCTGCTGGAGAGTGATTTTTGACAGGTTTTAGGTTTTCTAAATAATCGAGATGAGCCTGTATTATTTTATCTTTATCGCCATATTTCGATTTCAAAATATTCTTTGTTGTTGCATATGTTTCTGCAGTTATATTAATTCCATCAACTATTCGTTTTGCTTCTCCATCTAAATATCCCCGCAAAAAAACATGCTTGTCAATCAGCGATAAACTTTCGATTTTGTCAATACAGTTTTCAAAACGCTCCCAAAAACTATGGAATTCCTCAATTTCGCCGTAAAACGTATTTATTTTTATTGTAGGCAACTTTACTGTAACATTTGAAGACGAAGCTGAAAAATTATTTATATTGGCAACTGCTGGCGATGTTTCAGAAATTGAATTCGTATTCCGATTCGCTGTTCTTTTGAAATTAAATAACGCCAAATGAGCATATTCTGTG